GAGAGAGAGAGAGAGAGAGAGATTTTAACAAATGTAATTCTTTTGTAATACTTATAATTTATAATGTATTTACTGTACTTTGTTTTGTTTACACAAAAGATACATTTTTTATTAGACTATCAATTCTAAAGGATAAAGTGATAGCCAGGGCCAATTGTTTGTTTTTGGGAAAATGTTAATGACAGAATTGTTAAAATTTCTTATATGTTAGCTATAGATAGAATTTCAAGGCTAACCACTTGTATTACACTTTCAATATTAGAAAAATGTTTATTCAACTTAAGGACCTTAAGTGTCATTGAATTGAAATTGAAATTAAAAAAAGAAAGAATATTCTAACCCTAAAAGACTTGTCACTCACAGGTTTGTTTGACAGATAAAAATTGCTTTTTTAATAAAAAGAAAATAACAAAATAAAACAAATAAAAAAGTAAATATTTCTCAAATATTATAGTAATTTCAAATGTCAATTAATACGATAGCTCGTAGTTAATTGAAAATTATTTGTTAATTATGAATTAATTACAGAAATCTTTAATAATAGTTTAATTTAAGCCGATTTTTTATTTAATTATATATTTTAACCAGGTTATTTTTAACACGTTATAAATTAATATAAAAATAAAATTCACTGTTTATTAAAAGATATCTAACAAAAAAAGACAATTGATAACAATAATCAATTTTAGATACTTGTCTTATATAAATCTGATCCTATTTTATAAATCCAATAAATATATGGGTAACTAAATATATTATTGTTTGCAATTTATTTATAGGCATTTTGTATAATAATAAAATATAGACAAAAATTTCCATAATAACCTTCAAACATTAATATTATAACCCTATTTGCATAATATTAATATGCAAATAAATTAGCAGGCTTATTATTTTCATATTGTAAACAAAGTCCCCATACAATATTATACTATTATATTTATAGCATTTTAATAAGTGATGATCTGTTTTTACACTTAAGTATTTTAGTAAATCTAAGCTTACACAGTACACTCTATGCCATAGACTTATAATTTACGAATTGAGATCAACATTTAGATAGTATTGTATTGAATATATCACTCATACAAGTAGAACATTATAATGCATAAAATTAATTTTATTTATGAATGTTAATTTTTCTTGAATTATTTTATTTAAAAATTATTTTTACTTAATTTTAAAACATATTGAAGATAAAGTTAATTTTATAAGTATCATAATATATTTATTATAAAATAATTATTACTACTTTTAATATTTAACAATAATAAATGTTATATAATAATAGATGAGTTTTAAATACATAAATAATTACTGCAGAATAATTAACTTGATCGGAGATTTAAGAATCTAATACTTATTACTTAATATGGCTATAAATATTTTCTTTTCCCTTAGTAACACTCTCTAAACAAAAATTTCATTTGTCTCAAGCCTTTCAAATAGTATATAAGAGAACTCCAGAATCGAGAGCTCACACACTTCTTATACAATATAATTATCTATTTAATGGACCACTTATTCACTGATAAGAAGTGCTACTATTAATGAACTCATGTGCTTAATGGTAGAATATTATATTTTATTTTATAAACTAGTTAATTACTAATAAATACTTTGTACACACTTTTATTAACTTACTGATACCATATTTATTTCATATATAGGGTGTCCCAGCGTATTAAATATAATAGACATAAAGGTGACCTTTTATGAAATACCGGTACAATATTAAAATTGAGTTTTTATTGCAATTGTATATACAGTATATATAAAATAATATAAAAGTAAAAATAGATCTGTCATTAAATTAAAGTATTTATATTATATATTAATTAAATATAATTCATAAATAAATACAATCGCTCTCTTAGTTAATCATCTCGTTTGGCGTCCTTCACATCCAGTTCCTTACAGTGCGTCGAATCAAACGGACAGTTCAACAGTTGTGATGCGATTTCGTTTTGCCGTCTTTTCATGAGTTTCAGCTCTTTCTTGAGCTGATTGTGAGCGTCGGCCGAAACGGTGGGCGCCATCGGCTGACTAGACTTGTAATGACTTGATTCGGTCTTTTGTTTCTCTTTGCTTTCAATGAGTTTTGTCTGCAATTTCTCGGCAATCGTTACATATTTATTGTATTTAGTCCTCAATTCGTCCCTTTCTTTCTTGCATTTCATGACATCCTTCTCGAGACTCAACAACTGATCCCTGAAGTCCTGTCTCTCCTCATCGATACAGTTCCTCAACTTTAGCACATTCTTATCGCTCAATACCTTAAACTCATCCAATTGTTTGCGCTCTTCTTCTAACGTCTCTTTAATCCTTTGGAAATCACTTCTGTATTGTTCTCTCTGTCGGATCAGCTCTTTGTTGAGCGCCGAGTACTCTGTGTTCTCGGAGAAGTCAAACAAGTCGCTCAGCACGTTTACCAACACAACAAATGCTTCAAACAGGTTGAGAAGCTACAAATTGACTAAGCTGAGGTGAAATCAGGAATTCTAGTAACGTAGGGAAAGGTGTGAATGTCTCAATTCAGACATGTTTTCAATTTGTCGTCTCATTTGTTGGATCTCTTCCTTCAGTTTCGACTTCTCTTCCTTTAAATCCTTTAGTTTTGATTGAATCGAAGTCCTGACAAACGGATTATCAAATTGTTTTCATTCAAAAGGATTATAAAAAGTTATAAACAATCAATAAATTAATGAAATCATACTTTTCATGTTCAACAACACATCGTTTGTCAAACTCTTGTTGTCTTATTTCAGTGAACTTAAGCTGAAATTCTTTGTCTTTCACTGTATTTTCCTGTTCTAACCGTTTAATCGTTTCGTTTTTATTTTCAATTTCCAATTTTAAATCTGAAATCATTTGTATTAATATTTATTAAATTTTTAAAATTAATTAAAAACTATTTTTAAATAAAAACTCAAATAAATCAAAATTAAAGAAATCGTTAAATTGCCTAAAAGATCATTAATTATGACTTACTTTTCAATTGATTGGAAATATGATCTTTTTGTTCGTCAATATCTTTAATACTCTTATAATAAGAGGACTTTATTTTATCCTTTTCCACATCAAAGTGTTTATCGTTGTCTTCCAACTGTTTATTCAATCGATTGATTTCAGTCTTCAATCTCTCCATCTCTGCCAATAAATCCTGTTTTTCTCTCTCATTACTGGCCATCACTTGTCTTAAGTTCACATTAGTGTCACTCATACTCTTGAGCTGCTGATTGAGTCCAGAGATCTGTTTCTCAAACTCTCTTTGAGTGCTCTCGTGTTCGGCGACGAGTGCCTCCACTTTCAACTCAATCCTCTTATACTGCTGTTCGGCGTCTTCTAGTGTCGACTGATATGACTTCACTTTGGCCGACAACCTCTGGTTCTCATGAGTCAAGTCCGTGAACCTCATGACGTCTGGCAATTGGTTGGTCTCCAAGAGTTTGGATCTGAGCTCTTCCTTCTCTCGTTTTATTAAATTCATTTCCGACTCAAACGACAGTTTCATCCTTTCTATTGAATCCAAACTCTCTTTTTCCAAGAACTCAATCTTCTGTCGAGCAATCTTCAGCTCATAGCCGATGCGCTCCTTATCTCGAACCACTATTTCGTTGCTTTTCTGCAACTTCTTCAGCGGTTCTCTTAACTCGTCTTCAAATTGGCTGCGAATCACTTGCGGATTCTCTTCAGTTTGTTCAGCGAGTCGTGCAAATGGTTGTGTTGTTTACGAAGTTTGTCCAACTCTTCGATGTTTAACTGATTCGACTCCACTTTAGTCCTTAAGATCATTGCATCCCTTTCCACACTTAATCTCAATTCAGACATATTTTCAATTTGTCGTCTCATTTGTTGGATCTCTTCCTTCAGTTTCGATTTCTCTTCCTTTAAATCCTTCAGTTTTGATTGAATCGAAGTCCTGACAAACGGATTATCAAATTGTTTTCATTCAAAAGGATTATAAAAAGTTATAAACAATCAATAACTTAATGAAATCATACTTTTCATGTTCAACAACACATCGTTTGTCAAACTCTTGTTGTCTTATTTCAGTGAACTTAAGCTGAAATTCTTTGTCTTTCACTGTATTTTCCTGTTCTAATCGTTTAATCGTTTCGTTTTTATTTTCAATTTCCAATTTTAAATCTGAAATCATTTGTATTAATATTTATTAATTTTGGCTGTTTTTAAATAAAAACTCTAATAAATCAAAATTAAAGAAATCGTTAAATTGCTTAAAAGATCATTAATTATGACTTACTTTTCAATTGATTGGAAATATGATCTTTTTGTTCGTCAATATCTTTAATACTCTTATAATAAGAGGTTTTTATTTTATCCTTTTCCACATCAAAGTGTTTATCGTTGTCTTCCAACTGTTTATTCAATCGATTGATTTCAGTCTTCAATCTCTCCATCTCTGCCAATAAATCCTGTTTTTCTCTCTCATTACTGGCCATCACTTGTCTTAAGTTCATATTAGTGTCACTCATGCTCTTGAGCTGCTGATTGAGTCCAGAGATCTGTTTCTCAAACTCTCTTTGGGTGCTCTCGTGTTCGGCGACGAGTGCCTCCACTTTCAACTCAATCCTCTTATACTGCTGTTCGGCGTCTTCTAGTGTCGACTGATATGACTTCACTTTAGCCGACAATCTCTGGTTCTCATGAGTCAAGTCCGTGAACCTCATGACGTCTGGCAATTGGTTGGTCTCCAAGAGTTTGGATCTGAGCTCTTCTTTCTCGCGTTTTATTAAATTCATTTCCGACTCAAACGACAGTTTCATCCTTTCTATTGAATCCAAACTCTCTTTTTCCAAGAAATCAATCTTTTGTCGAGCAATCTTCAGCTCATAGCCGATGCGCTCCTTATCTCGAACCACTATTTCGTTGCTTTTCTGCAACTTCTTCAGCGGTTCTCTTAACTCGTCTTCAAATTGGCTGCGAATCACTTGCGGAT